TATTTCAAATTATGATCGGTGAATGCTTTCATTCTCCAGATTCAAAATTTTGCTACCGTAAGACAGTTAAAACCTACGGAAAATAATAAGGTTAAAACCAAATGTATGTACATTGTTTTTGCTTTTTTGCAAAAACAATTAAATTTTCCTATCTCTTTAGGAATATCGGATCAGATTCAATATCTAATTTTCCTAAAATTTGCGTCATAAATTCCAATTTGTGTTGCTAACGATGCAAATAATTGTCAATTTTTGATTTTTTTTTAGTATTATTGCATTTACAAAAAATAATTAAATAGTTAAAAATGACTGACTTTGATGTAGAAAAGGAAAACAAGCTAGTAAAAATGAGATTTTTACTTATAAATTATAAAACGATCAGCTGGCACGAGTTGCTTTGTTTGCATTTAACTGTTATTTTGTAAATGATAGTGTGATTGACATGATCATTAGATTGACGATGTCAACTTTAAAATTTATAATTGAAAATCTTCTACTATTTTTCATTTGGGTATAAGGACCTACTTTTGATTAATATTCATAAATTAATCGAAATAATTCGAAAAAATCGAATATCTGTTATGCGAATGAACGATTTATCGCTGTATTTATGAAATGTCAAACAAAATGCAGAATAATAAATTTATACAATTTGAATTATTTGAAAAAAAAAACATTTTAATTCCAATTGTTAATTTTACTATTAAATTTAAAACAAGAAAGAGGAACCTATAATAATTACCACCTTATTTATTATAATTAAATTAATTAAATTAATTTTAGAAAAACAATAATTAATAAATTTTAACCTCAATCTTATGAATTTTTTTAGTTTGAAAATAATTTTTTAATTACTTTTAGAATTTTTTCCTTTTATTTGCCTATAAATAGGCATTTAACAGAAAATTAAAATTTTTTTTGTGTAATATTAAGTCACTAAAATATGTACCTGAAATAAATACCTGAAAAATAATTAGTTATAGATTAAAACTTTTTAAAAATTTCAATGTGAATAAAAGTTATTCATCTAAAACAATTTATTATTTTAATTTCATAAATTTTGTAACAAATTGTAGTTGTTTTTGCGAAATAAAACAAAAAAAATTTTCCATACCAAGTATTAACCATTTACGGTTAAAAATTTCATAATTCACATTTTCCAAGTGTTAAACTTCCCTTGGGTTTAAAATAATGAAAGTTTTTTTTTATTTTTGCATGTTCCATTTGATTGATATTAAAATAATATTAATTTTTTATTTTTCTATTATTGATTTTTTAATAGTTTTAGTAAATAGAAAAAAAAATTATATTAAGTGATGGTCACGGACCTTCTTTGTTATATTCATATATACGTACAAGGTGATTCAATATTCAATAGTTAAAATATAATTTGGCGAAATTTTAACATACAGTAAAACCTGTCGAAATTTTCATACGGCTTAGACAGGTTTTTCGGGATAGACACAGGTTTTGATAACTAAAATTAAAAATTTTCAAAATTTTTCGCCTTTCATAGACTTTATACTTTTCTCGGTAAGCTAATAATTGAAGCGGATTAACCACAATGTTTTTCAATTTCAAAATATTTTCCTATTTATCAATTTCTTTTAAAGGAGTTCCGCCCTCCTTCACTCCTCCCTAAATTGTTCTAGTTTTTTTACTAAATTAATTACGAATTTCGCCTTTGACAAATTTTCTGTTTCTTCAATGCTAAATTTTTTGCAGAACTTTGACTGGTAATGACAAATTTTTCTTAATTTTATTGCGGTTCAAAGAACTGCCGAAACAATTCTTTGTTTTAAAATTAATAGTTAAATTGCTTAAAGTAATTTTATTATACAGTATTAATTACCTTGCATATTATTTACTCAAAATTTTAAATATCGATTTTAATTTATAACTAAATAGCAAACTATTATATTTTTAATAGACCTGTGACTTTTTATTCTTTATTGCAATATGTGTGGTGCGGTTATTGAATTATTAATGAATTTTGCAACATTAAATTGTAAATAGGTATACTGAATGAAAAAATATGAAATATTATTTAATTAAAACTTTTGTTTCAAATGTTTAAAAAAAAATTTATAGTCCAATGTCAATAGTATAATAAATAATTATAACATAGAATTTTTGAATAAGAAACATATGCAATAAATTAAATTGTATATTTTCAATAGACATATAAAAATAATTTTATTAATTGCAGAATTTTAACCCATTCAAACCCAATAATATTATTATTTGTATCTATGTGTGCCATTAAAAACTCATTTATGTTCCCGTTAATACTCAATTTTGATTTTAAAATTTTAATTCAGAAAAGCAATTTTTTCTAAAAACTTTATAAAAAATCGGGAATATTATTGTTTTTATTTAATATTCCGAATAATATTCTAATAGGAATTGAACTCCGGACAATTCTAACACGAATTGAAGTTGTTTATCTAAACATAAATTGTAATATTGTGTAAAAATATCTTTTCCAAAAAGAAAAGATATTTGGTTTGCCCCTCTTGTTGTGTCTGTTTACAAAATTTTTACACCCTTTGAGATAGAATAAATGAAATGATAACGTTAATCTTAAACTTAAATAGAATTAGAAATACCCGATAATATTTGGATAACCCGATAATTTGTTTCTGTGGAAGAAAATTTTCCAACACCCTAACTTTAAAAGTTGCAGCACTTAAAAGTGCTAATAGTGCTATTTTTCGACCATTTATTGTAAAGAAACCATAAGCATCTTTTAAGTGCATCATAAGTAAAATTTTAAATTTCTACCTTCACTTCCTCCCATATTATCGTGTTCCAAAATTTGTAAAATTTGAATTTTCGGGACCTTATATACTTTCCATACTACAAGCATTCGAAATCTCTATAAACAGTTAACATTTCTATAAACAGTTTCTTTAACTAACTGAATGAACTTAACCGTCTAATTCAACCATTATGTTAATGTTTCTTTCAAAAATTTTTTTTTTGCTTATCCTAAATGTATGCAATAAATTTATAAATTGGAAAGTATATGAATAAAATAATTTGTTAATTACCGAGCGCATTGTGTATACAATAAGGTAGGTTATGTGATTACAATAAATTTTGAATGTTGAGTTTTCGGTGGGAACGCACTTCTCCATAGTAGGGAAGCAGAAATATACTATTTTCGGCATCCTGTCAGTCTGTCTGTGTGTGCACGCGTTTGTAACAACTGATTTGAACTGATTTTGATGAAATTATATATGTAAGTTTATTTCGGCTGTGACACAGATTGATCAACTTTTGGGATATATCTTCTGGATTGGCCTCGGAAACTGGACCTCTCAACGGGCCTGCTTTACACTTTCGACTATTTTGAAAAAAATATTCAACAGATTTATTTGCAATTTAATATTGAAATTAGAGGTGTTAAAACAATTAATCTATAAATTTTTTGAAAAGATTAAGACTCGGAAACTGATCTGGTGGCCGCTTTTACCTTTTTTACCATATCTACGGAACAAATTGATGAAATTTTTTGAAATTTAATATTTGAGTTATGGTTGTTAGCAAAAGTTACTGACGAACTTTTCTTATAATTCTGATGTTCTTACAAAATGAAACTCTACTAGGAGCCAAATTCACATTTTTCTAGGAATGCTAAATAAAAGCTTATTAGGGTTTTTAAAATTGTTAAAAAGTGTTAAAAACGCGTTTTCATAATATTCTGGAATACTTTTACTAATCTAGACAATATACATTGCGGCCAGTTATGTGCTGATCACATCAGATATTTTGTTTTTAAAAAACGCATATTTCCATTTTTTTAAGGGACAAGTGTTTTCTACAAGCCATTGGTTTGACCCACCTCTTTAACAAATCATTTACCTATATTATTATTATTTATTAATGTTCATACAGTAACAAAGTTTTACTACTTATAAACAATGTATGAATGTAAAATTAGTTAAATTGTGATAAATAAGAAAAAAATTTATTATATTTTTTAATCTTATTTAAAATAAAAATAAAGAATCTTGACATAATATACAACATACTTAATATATTTAGACATAACTAAACAATTCGTATGTGCTTTTTAAACTTGTGAACAAACAATTTATAATTTTTTAATGCTATCTAATTATTACAAAACTGATAAAATATTAGAGAACGAGACTGAATAACGAGGAAATAGAGAAGATTTATTTTTACTTTATTTTTCACACCATCATTAATTAATTATATTAATGCTATATTTTGTGCAATTGTGTTAAAAACAATGTGCTAATAAATTTTTAATTATTTATTTATGAAAAAAATCAAACACGATTTTAGAGAAGAAGATTATTTTGTATGAACAATATTGTTTTCGCATTTCCTTCCATAAATGTAATTTTTGTAACCAAAAGAAAACTTTAATTATAAATTTAGGGTTATGGCTTTCTAGTACAAGCATTTTAAAAAGAAATGGAGTTGAAAATTTAGTTCAGTTAAAAATACATGGTACACTATTTTGCTTCTTTTCGTTAAGTTCAATTGACTCATTAAACAACTAATTACAAATTACAATTGCAAAAGATTTGAAATTGTGTCATTGAACTATTTGAAGTATAAGTTCAGTAAACATTTGCACTAATCACTCTAAATAATTACTATACTTTTATTAAATTTAGTAAACAAGTTCTGCGGGTCTCAAGTGTAATAAGTTTTTTATTTTTTTTTTTAAATTTATCTCAAATTGTTTAGTGTCTTTTTGGTGCTATTTTTATTATTTTCAATTTTAAGAGATAATTTGTTGCATGGAATTTTTTTTATATAGCGATAAAATCCTTTATTATTGTTCATCACTATATTCGTCTTTATTATATAATATATATACCTACATATATGTATGTATAATACAGAAACTTTTTGTCATATTTTTATTGCCGAACAATATCAACTTTAACTAAATAAAAAAAAATGAGATTCTACAAATTGTTGAAATTTTATTTCTTTTTTTTTTATCTTATTTCTAGGATGTTCCAGCTGTAACAACTGGTTTTGGAACACCAATTGGTACAAGAGATGCCTCTGAAACTGTTGGACCAAGAGGTCCAATTTTATTACAAGATGTTCATCTTTTAGATGAATTATCACATTTTGATCGTGAAAGAATTCCAGAACGTGTTGTAAGTATTTGAAATTATTTTTAAATTTTAATTTTAATAAGACTATGTATATTAAATTCATTTAATAAATTGAAAAAATAAATAATTATTATATTTAATAAAATTTATTTGTATTAGGTTCACGCTAAAGGTGCTGGTGCCTTTGGTTATTTTGAAGTAACTCATGATATTACAAAATATACTGCTGCAAAAGTATTTAGCGAAATTGGTAAAAGAACTCCAATTGCTGTTCGATTCTCAACAGTTGGTGGTGAAAGTGGTTCAGCTGATACAGTACGTGATCCACGTGGTTTTGCTGTTAAATTTTATACTGATGATGGTATTTGGGATTTAGTTGGTAACAATACTCCAATATTCTTTATTCGTGATCCAATTCTATTCCCAAGTTTTATTCATACACAAAAAAGAAATCCACAAACTCATTTAAAAGATGCTGATATGTTTTGGGATTTTATATCATTAAGACCAGAAACAACACATCAAGTAAAATCTTTTATTGAAGTTTAAGAATATATTTATTTTTTTTTCTAATTTAATATTTTTACATTGCTTTATTTATTTAAGGTATGCTTTTTGTTCTCTGATCGTGGTATCCCAGATGGTTATCGTCACATGAATGGTTATGGTTCACATACATTTAAACTTGTTAATTCAAAAGGCCAACCGGTTTATTGTAAATTCCATTATAAAACTGATCAAAAAATTAAAAATATGGATGTTAATAAAGCTGCTCATTTATCTGGCGCTGATCCAGATTACAGTATTCGTGATTTATACAATTCAATTGCAAAGGGTGATTTCCCAACATGGACATTTTATATTCAGGTTATGACCTATGAACAGGCTAAAACTCACAAATATAATCCATTTGATTTAACAAAGATTTGGTCACATAAGGAATTCCCATTAATTCCAGTTGGCAAACTAGTTTTGGACCGTAATCCATCAAATTATTTCGCTGAAGTTGAACAAATTGCATTTAGCCCAGCACATTTGGTACCTGGTATTGAAGCATCACCTGATAAAATGTTACAAGGTCGGCTTTTCTCATACAGCGACACTCATCGTCATCGTTTGGGAGCAAATTACTTACAATTGCCAGTTAATTGCCCATATCGTGTTTCAACAAAGAATTATCAACGTGACGGACCATCCACATTTACTGATAATCAAGGTGGTGCACCAAATTACTATCCAAATTCATTCGGTGGGCCAGCTGAATGTCCACGTGCTAAGAAATTAATGGAGATTCCAGAGCCGCTAACCGGTGATGTTTTACGTATAAGCAGTGGCGATACTGAAGATAATTTCTCCCAAGTAACTGATTTCTGGACTAAAGTTCTTAATGAAGACGAACGTAAACGTCTTGTTTCAAATATTGCTGGTCATTTGAGCAATGCAAGTGCATTCATACAAGAACGCGCTGTTAAGAATTTCAGTAAAGTACATGCTGATTTTGGAAGGCAATTAACAGAACAATTAAAATTAAATAAATCATCCAAAATGTAACTTTTGTTAACGTGGTTGTTTTTTTTTTGTTGGAGGGTTTATGAAAATCACAATGCGTTTTTATCTTTGTATGTACTTCATTTTTTTTTTATAAAATGTCTATTATTTTATCAAACATACATACATACATATGTATGTATGTAATACTTGATTGTCATTCATATGTATGCATGTATGTATTTATACCTTGATAATTAAACTAAAAAGTAAAAATGTTTACTGTGTGGGTACTGATGTTCAGTTTTAAAACATCGGAATATTCATTTTTTGAAATGTAAATCATGATATTTTTGTAAAAGCAATAAATTTTTATTAATAAAGTAGGTTGTTTTATTTTTTGTTCACAATATAAAAAATGGTTTTGCCGAAAATAAAAAGGTAAATTAAAAAGGATATCTGGGTTTCTCATAAACAGAGTTTAATTAGTTTTTTATGTATGTAGGTACACAAATTATTTTGTTTTCCACTATTGTAGGAATTGGAATCTATGTATTAAAGGAAGACAGGTTGTTTGCAGCGAACTTAATTTAATTATTACAAAATTTTAGAAAAGCAACTACTGAATTTTATAAGGCTATTTTGGTTCGCTTAAATGACATTTTGGTTCATTCAATCTTCTAGAAATTTGCATATTTTTTTTCGTTTGACCAATACGATACGTAAATGGGTGCCGAAAGTTTTTTTACATTGTTTTGTGAATATAATAATTAGGGTAATAAAACGAATAAGTATGTATTCGTTATGTATTAGCTTTTATATAAAAATTTCATACTTTATCTTTAAAAATTCACTATAGATAAATATATGGGTAGTCTGGATTATGTACTGTTTCTTATTAAATTTACTGTCCGTAGGTATGTATATGTACATACTCATTTCCTTTGCAAATTAAAACTTCAATATTTAACATACTATTCATATCTGTTACCTGTAATATATAATTAACATACTAAGAAAATTTGAATTTTTTTGTTCTTTTTTCCATATTTAACCTTTTTGCTTTTTATATTACTAAAGAAAGAAAGAAGTTCTAATGAGAAAATAATTTTTTAACTATTTTTCTACATATCAAATACACATATGTACATACATTATGTAGATTGTAAACAGAATATGAAAGAAAAACTGTGTAGGTACATACGCATGTACATACTTTAGATAAAGGCTTCTTAAACTTTTTAATATAGCAACCCCCTTCAAGCTTAGGAAATTTTAAACGACCCCCTCCTCCATATAATGAAATATATATTAACCGTAGATGTAGATGTAATATCGCACTATTTTACAATGTAAATAAAATAAGGATAAAGAATACGTACCCATTCATTTCACATATATATAATTGGAAACGTTGATGGGATATCGGTCGTAATAAAACACAATAAATAGAACGACATAAAACCATATACATATATTATATTTATTCAATAGAAAAAATAAACTTTTGTAACAATTTTTTGACCCCCTTTCAGTTGTCTCGCACAGTTTAAGAAGTCCTGCTTTAGATTACATTATTTTCATTTTTTGATGTTACTCGTTCCTTTATCATATGTATCTCTTTCTTATTTGGAAAATTAATTTTTCTTTATTTTCTAATTTAATAACAGGAAAGGAGAAAAAATTAGAGAAATTAGAAAGAGTATAAAAAATTATATTAAGGATTTATGTTTCAAAGACGTTGTTTTATTTTTGTATGAAAATGGGCTTATTTTCTGAAAGAGGTAGCTAGTCTTGATCGTACCGCACTAGTACTGTAAGAGTTGTTTTTCTAATTAGAGTTGTACATTTTATATGAGTCGTGCACGAACAGCATTTACATTTTTCGTTATTAACCTAAAATAAAAGCGGAACGGTAAAATCAGTTGAACAGTATTGTGCATATAATGCCACATAAACATGAAAATAGATGTCAAAAAAAACCACTAACGGCAAAAAGGAAATTTTGTGAACTCTTTTCTATCGAAATATCGTTATTGTGAATTAAAACATTTTTGACTTTTAAATTGGAAAATGTTTAACATATTAAATAATACATACCCCTGGAATTTTTTTTTTCGAAAATGAAATTTGACAACTGCATACCATACTCGAATTAGCCTGCAAATTCGAAATACTTTTTTTTTTCTTATCGAAGAAGTGTCAAAATAATAAATTTTGTTCTGAAAATTAGAAGTGCGTAATTTATATTATTTAATAAGCTTGTTTTAATATTAATAATGCAATTAAATTTAAGAAAAATTACTTATTAAAAAATTAAAATTACAAAAAATACAATTTTTTATTGTTAAGAAGAATAAATCAAAACAATAATAAACTAGGAGGCGCGTGTATTGTGTATGTAGTTCATCATATCTTCGATTCGAGTGGCAAGTAACGAAACAAAATAAAAATTTTGCCGACTTATTTATTGAAAAAGAGATCGTTTATATGGAAGATTTGACGGACATCGCCGAAGCTACAGGCGACGACCATGAAAATGGTGAGGTAAGAAGTATTTGGAATTTTTGTTTTGAAAATTCTTTGTAAAAATTGTTGACTGGCAATTTAGGTACCATTCACGCGAAAAATTAAATTTCAATATTAAATTCAAACTTACAACGAAAGCAATTTTATATAACAAAAAAATGGAAATTGAAAAGCATCAAAAAGAAATCTTTTTATCAACTGAATTTTTTATATTGTTTAATTCTATTTCAAGACCATAGAAGTTCTAAAATGACATTTACTATTGGAATTTTTTTGATGAAGATATTTCTCATAGATGTGTATGCTGCATTTGACAGATAGAAATATTTGCCTGCTACTGTTAAGCTTGGGTTCAAGTATATGTATTAAAAACATTTTCTAAGGTACTTATTCGGTTTTTGTTTGAATAACTATATAAAAATTTCAAAGTGGACTGCATCTCTATCACAAGTTTCAAGATTTTTGAAGAATTTTTTTTTATACTTCTATTCAATACGATAAACCGACGAATTCTGTATATAAAGTAGGGATCTGATCTAGTACCTATTGAAACAATAAAAAATACAAACAATAACAGCGCTTGGTATAAAATGTTTTCACAGAAGAAAAAATTTTATTTAAAAACATGGCAAAATTATTTTGAATGTTGAAATATCTTTTGTTTTTGAATTTTAAGTTTTTTGCTTTTGTTAAACACGTCATCATAGTGGAAATAATGGAGAACTAAGACTTACGATTAATTAAAGTGATATTGGCGTCAAATGTTTTAGTATATTTTATTGCATATTAATTTTTTGTTTTATTAGACTAAAATCGTCTTTTACATTATTTCAGACACAGGGTAGAACAAGATTGGTTGCAACAAGTGAAGGTAATGCTGTAGTTTCAGTTCCTGTTTCATTGCCGGTTGGTTCTTTAATTGCTGGTACAGCGTTCAATGTTATAACACCTGATCAACTCCCACATTTTAAGCAAATGCTCTGTGTTGACAATAACGCTTTCCTAGGCGGAACAGTAGTTAGTGATGTTAGCTCAGGTGATTTAAAAACGATAGTTATTCAACAACAGCCATCGTCTTCTAACGCTTCAAATCATCAAGATCCATTGGGTTCTGGTTTGAACGGGAATGATGGAAACGGTGGCAATACTAGTAGTAATTCACAAGATAGTACAATGAAATATGAAAGTTCAGTAGTACAAATAACAGGACATCAACAATCTCCCAATCTAAATTGGGCTGATGCAGCTAATTTAGATGTATTTCCAATAAGATGTAAAGCGACAACAGCTGAATTATATAAAAGTAAATTAGGATCAGGAGGTAGAGGTCGGTGCATTAAATTTAAAGAGCAATGGTATACACCTAGTGAATTTGAAAATATATGTGGACGAGGTTCGAGTAAAGACTGGAAAAGATCAATACGATACGGTGGTAGAAGCTTGCAGGCTTTAATTGATGAAGGGATTTTAACTCCACATGCTACTAGTTGTACTTGTCAAGCATGCTGTGATGACGAAACAAGTATTTATTTTGTTTTTATTGTTGTTTTAAAACACTAAACCAATTCCTATTATATATTTGTAGCTGCTTCGGGACCAGTTCGATTATTTACGCCATACAAAAGAAGAAGACGCAATCATGCGGAAGAAATAGGTACAGCTAATCACGTGCCCAAAAAGAAACGAACCGAAATACCTATCAAACAAGAAGAAATATTATTATCAGCAGCAGACCCAAATTTAGTTTCAAAAGTTGAAAATTGGACAGCTTTAAGTGATACATTAGATGCATCATCTGAATTTCTTGATCCATTAGCTCAGACTTGTAAGTATATAATAATAACAAATTAATGAAGCATGCGTGGCAGGATTTTTGTATTTACATTTAATTGCACGATTCTAGTTATGAATCAATTAAAAACAACAACGCAATTAATCAGTTCAAATGATTTATAAAATTTCTATTTCTCATTATTAAAATTTAATCGGTATTTCTGCGACGATTTCTTTTCCTTTTTTAATTTTTTGTTACCCAAAAGAACAAGTCAAAAATATTGCATGAATTGCTTGTCTAAATTAATTTATTTTTTCTTTAATTTTAATTATTTTAAAATTTAAGCTTTATCAATTTTAATTTTTAAGTTGTCGAATTATGCGAAGATTATGGTTTTGATAGAAATAAAAGTTTCAGAATTTATTTACTAGTTACATACACGGTCTAAGATCCGAAAAATAAATTTCCAGTGAAATCGAAAAACTTTAAAAGCATCCTTTTTTCTTTTAAATTTTTATTCATAACATCAGACTTAGCGCAATCAGGTCCTTTTTGGATTCTTTTACCATCTGTTCCAATGTGTAAAAATAAAATAGAAAAAGGTAATTTAAGATTTTATAATTGAACAAACAAAGTTGAATCTTATTGTTTTGGAATTCTTATTTTATGGGGAAATTGGAAAAAAATTATATTATGGGAAAAAATGTATACAAATATATTTTTACGTTCTTATTATTAAATTTCAAGTAACAAAGATTAGAATATATACAAATACATTATGATTAACAGGAATTTTTCTGTACGGGAGATAAAATATTAAATTTTGTATATTTATTATTATTTAATTTAGTTTTTAATTAGCGAATATCTATGCTTTTTGAAATTTCCAATCTTGTTATTTTTCTGTTTGTTTTTTTCTTAAGTTTGCTGAGTTTATTGTTCTATAATTTATCTCTGCAATAATAAATACATAATATTAAATATAAACATACATATATAAATATACATAAACATATAACTATAGAAATATTCATTTATTAATTTATTTTTTAATAAATTACAGATTATGATACAAATCAGTTTTTAAAACGATTAGATACAATTTGTTCGACAATGTCAAAAGCAACTAATGATTTTAAACGTTTATACCAAGAATTGAAAGAACATTATAATCGAAAAATTGATCAATTACAAAGAGAACGTGACGCGGCATTAATAGCCGCAAGAGTTCATGCAGAAGTTGATGATTCAAACATAGCGAATCAATTAAGCGGAACTGAATTAGTAGCTACTAAAAAAGTTAGTTATATTTTTCGTTCTTTTCTTTCATTAAATATCTTCCATTTTTTTTAAATTTATTTTTCTTTTATATTTTTAGTGCGCAAATTGCAATCGAGAAGCTTTAGCGGAATGTTCACTTTGTAGACGAACTCCATATTGTTCAATATTTTGTCAAAGGAAAGATTGGAATGCACATCAGGTTGAATGTAGAACAGATCCTAATGAAACAACACAACAAATAATGTTACTAGTGGATGATCAGGCGTAATATATTAATTTAATTACTAAATCAAAAAAAAATATTTAGACATGTTTAATATTTTTCTTTTTAAAAGAAATTTTTTTTTTTTTTTTTTTTTTGATAAATATAATTAGAAATATGTAGAGGTACATTTTTGTTAAAAGTGTATTCAATGATATACATACATAGTAATTCTAAAACTATTTTAAAATAGTTTGAGATATAAAAGAAAAAAAAATGAAAGGAAATAGAGAAACAGAATTGTAAGTCATGAAATAAATATTTATGAATATATTTAAGAAGTTTTTTATATTTTTATTTTTAACGGGTTTGCCTCCTTTTTTTGTTATTTTAAAGCGAAAAAAAATTTAATTGTAATGTTGATTTATATAAGAATAATGATTCAAGTCAAAAATAGAAGAGTCGGGGAAAAAAAACGAAATAGTTTTTTCATTCAGAAAATTTTTAAAATAAAAGAAAGATTTTTTCTGTTTTTTTAGTTCAGCTCGTATATACTTTTTATTCATCTCAAGAAAAAAAAAACACCAAAAGAAAAGCTTCATTTTATACGTGAACAATTTTTTTTTTAACAAAATAAAGTTTATTACATTTTATTAAAAAAGAAAATCAAATTAAAAAAAAACATTTAGATTTTTTTTTAATGCAATAAAAATGCTCGCTTATTCTAAAATTTTTATATAAAGAGAAAAGTTATTATTTAGACAACATTTTACCTAATATTTGATTGAATACTCCATTAATTTTTAAATTATTTAACTTCAACTTCAAAAATTTAAAATATTTGCAAACCATTTTTTTTAATATAATTTTTAAATAAATATTGCAACAGCGACTCTTAAATAATTAAAAATTACTTAGAAATATCAAAAAAAAAAAGAAGTAAAAGAGACTATTTACTACACAATTTTAGGGATTCACCGTTTTTTTAAAATATATTACATAATATAATTAAATTAAAACAAGTACATAATTAAATTCAATTTGAATTATAGAAAAAAAAAAAACAAAGAAAATTAAAATAGAAATGTAAAAAAAAACAAAACTATTCTAAAGAAAACAATTGTAATATATAATATAAGCTAAAACGAAATAAAAATAATTAAAATTTTATTAAATAAAAACACTAGGTATAAAATAATCAATAAAAAGTAAAACAAAAAAAGCAACTAATTTAAATACTATTAATTATTATTATTATTAATATTATTATTATAATAATTATTATCATTGTTTTTTTAGATATAATTATAAAAAAAAATTAAATTTTGTTACTCAATTTTTTAAATTTAATTAACTTTTAGGTACTAAAAAAAAATAAAATACCGATTATAAAACAAATGAATTAAATATGCTGTAGTAAAAATAATTACAAAATATATAATATATACATAAATAATTTGTATGTATTATGTTATAAAGAAATAAGAAATAATTGCTTTTGGCACCTGAAAATATTGCTATTTTAATACACATTCAAGTTATGAATTTTTATTTTTTAATTAAAGTGCATTACACTTTTATATAATATTAATAATGACATTTTTGATTAATAACTTTAGTACTTAATTATTTATATGTTTTAGTTTTAAAAAATCTCTTTGAGATCATTATACCCTATTATAATAAAAAATTAATATTTGAATATTTTTAATATTCAATAATTAATGTATTGTTAAATGGAAGAAAAAACTCATTATTAAATTATTTTTATTATATACACAGCATCTCTCGAAGAGTGGACATAATAGTTCCGCTTACTTGCAATAATACAGGATAATCAAAAAGGATATTTTGTACAACTATTTTGTATGTTTAAGCATATCGAAATATTATTTGTTTTAATAAATTAATATATTTATTTAGAAAATCTTTATAAATTTTTTTTTAAATTTTTCTTTAATAGAATTAATAAAAATTTAAATTAGCTATATTTTTGTGTGCCAAAAAAATGTATACTGTTTTTTTGTTTACAAGCTTTTTTTTTTATTGTAGAAAAATTATACTCATAACATAAACAAAAATAAAACAAAAAAACGTTTTTTGAAAATAAAAAACATGAAAAATTAATAAAAAAAAGGGAAAAATTTTAAGAACAACAAACGGTTTTGTATCTTTTTTTAACAAAAAAAAAATAAAATAAAATTTGTAATTAGAGAAAACAAGCAACAAATTTTTTTGTGATTTGAGAATTACGTAAAATAAAGAAAAAAAAATTAATTAAAAAAATTATAGAAAAAAAAAAAATTTAATTAAAATATTTTAAATGAAAAGCATTCATAATTTTTAGTAATCTTTTTTATGCTTTTTATTCTTTAGGTGGTTACAAGTTGTTATACACAAGACTTCTGCGCAACGAAAATGGAACGATTTATATTTACAAAATGAGAGTAGTTTTACCATAATATTTTTTCGATATTTGAAAAATTTAAGACAAATTTCGTATATCTTGTTCCAAATTTTTGTAATAACTGATATAACATGACTTTATTATATTGATATTATATTGATATTCCTGAACTACGAGTATTATTCTGTAAGACCTGAGGTGATGTAATATTATTTTGTTTTTTCATATTAGTTTGTATTAAATTAATAATTGTTTTTAATTTTGCAAAATTCAATTATTCGGTATTTTAGTTCAACAAAAAATTAAAATCTGTATATTTTCGTCGCTGCAAGATTCTAATTTGAAGAGCAAATACTTTTGTATGTAATTGGAAAAATTAGTTTCCAAAAATATATTTTATAATAAGTAAATATTTGAAATAATAATAAATTGCAACAGTTTTTATATTTAATTTAAATATTTATAATTTTGATTTCTTTTTATCTATTAATTATTCTTATGGTGTGATATTAATGTATAAAAAATCTTAAATCTTATCATATACGTTAATATAAATTTTAAGAAACGGTTTTGATTTGTCTTAAAATTTTTGTCTTTTATGTCTTTATTAAGAAAAAAAAATATTCTTTTTTTTTTCGAATTTTGATTGGAGATTCAATCAAATTTTTGTAATCAATATAATATACTTTTAATATTTAGCAATACATATTCTTAAAGAAGTCAAGTTTTTTTTGTTTTACATTCAGATTTTAGAATTTAAAAATTTTTAAAATATTTTTCTAAAATGTACATAATTGCCATATTTACTTCGTTATATTTTCTATCATCAATTAATAAAAAATCAATCTCTAATTCTTAATTTTCTAAATTAATTAACAAAATTTATTTATCCAAAATCTTACAAAATAAACTAAAAGTAAAAGTTTAAAACTTGTAGAAAAATATATTAATACATAAGGAAATCAATTTACTTTTTTATATGGGAATGAATTTAATAAGAGTGCTAACAAAAATGTTTGATACATACAATATGTATTAATCAGAAATATATTTTTAGTATAATTTACATTGTATTATATTTAATATAATTACAAATAATAATAATTATATTATAAATATATAGCTGTCTGTCTATAATAAATAAGTAATCAACGCAGCAGTTAAAAAAAAACGATGAAATACAATTAAAAACCATGGAGCAAATTATTTTTGTTTATATAAAAATTTAATTTATATAAATAGTATATATTATGAAATTAACGAGTACTTAACCTCCAAAGAAAATTAATTTTTGCGAGGTAAAGTATTAGTAATTATTGTTATTAAAATTTTTTTTTATCATATACATGCGTACATATACCTATAATATATATGTATATATATATATAATTGTAAGTAATTTATATTATAGAATAGTAAGTATACCTAAATTCTTGTTCAGTGGCTTAATGACTAATTAATTTTCCTATATTTACATTAATATTCCACGGAATATGTGGAGTACTGTTAATATTTACCCTAGTAATTTTTTTTAGTTATTTTGTTTTTCCTTAAAATTACTTTTCGATCGAACAGAAAAGTACAAAAAAATAATTCGTGATTAAACCATTTCAATCAATTTTTTTTAAAATTAGCTGGCATGCTAAATCATATTCAAACAAAAACAAATAATAATAATTAAAATCAGCGAAAAACACAAATAAAAAATTTAGAACCGTTTTTTTTTTTTTTAAATATTTTTTTTGTCAAATTTTATTGTCCTCCTTTCCCCTCAACACGTTTTCTTCGTTTGTTAAGTAAAGCATTATTAGAATTATCTAACGCCTTGATATGCATCATTTCATAATCGACTCTCATTGTAGCTAAAGATCTCGTCATTTCTTCTTGCACTTCTGGCCATGTTTCTTCGCCTTCTTTAAGGACACGGCCCGTATGCAAAGGAGTTTGTGGTACCATTGTGTATTGTGCAATCCATTTATTTTTCATTACTTGTTCGATTGTTAAACGTTTAGCTGGATCAACACTTAGCATATTTTTTATTAAGTCTTTTGCTGCTTGACTAACATTTTTCCATTCGGGGTCAGGGAAATCGTATTGACCAGTTCTAATACGTTTTTTCATTCCTGGCGATATTGCTAGACCGTGATTACTGTAAAATGGTGGAAAACCACATAGTAAGATATACATTATAACACCTAGTGACCAAATATCACAGCTTTTATCATATTTTTCAGGACCAAGAACTTCTGGGGCAACATAATATGGTGTATAGCAGGGCGTTTGTAATGTATCTTTTACATGGGTTTCTTTTGCGAAACCAAAATCGGTTAATTTTAATATTGCGTTCGATTCTGGTGTAGTATATAATAAATTTTCAGGTTTTAAATCACGATGAGCAATATTCATGCTATGTAAATGATGAACTGCAACGCATATTTCATGCATTATTTGAGCAGCTTCTCTTTCCGTAAAAGCTCCATCCTGACGATCCTGTATTCTTTGAAATAATTCACCACCTTCCATACATTCCATAACAACTAATAAACATTGCTTGTCACTATAAGTATTCTCAAAAACATCAACAATATTCACAATATTCAGGCAACTACTAGCTCTCCAATGTAAATCTACTTCACGTCTGGCTTTTGGATTATCAAGAAGTACTTTTAAAGCATATTTTATTCCTGTTTTCAAACTATTGCATTGAACAACTTTTCCATTTATTCCTAATCCTAATACAGTACTGGAAATTTTATACTCTTCGGTTATGGGCGTTTTTTTTGGCTGTTTCGCATTTATTCCATGATGCCCTGATGTTATTGGAACTGGTTTTTGAGCTTCATTTAAGCTTTTGAACATTTTTAATAGTAATTATTATCCACAATATAATTATTGTCTGTTTCGTCCAATTGACGCAATCACTTTAAAAAAATTTTCTTGAAAAAAAAATGAGGAAGATAACAACGATGATGTCACGGGATTCACACAGGTATGTGATTATCAAAAATAATAATTTATGTACTATTTTTGCGTAAAGGTGTAAAAACGTCACTATTATGACTCAAAATACACAACAACAATGCGTATATTGAAAGTGTCAAAAATTTTGGCAGTATATGACAGTAATTTCGATAGTTAATATATTTTAAATGATTAGAGCGACCTCATATTTTAATTTTTCAAGCTTAAAGAAAATTCATTTTTTCAATTGTCGCTTCTACTTTTCTTCTGCTTTTTATACCCGTGCGAACGTATGTTCGAAGGGTATACTAAATTTGCCTTACCGTTTGTTACACTAAGAAATAACGGTCTTAGATATAGACTCAAGTGTTTGTTTTTGATCAGCGTCAAATTCTGAGTTGATTTAGCTTTGTCTGTCCGTCCGTCCGTCCCAGCAATAGCTCAAAAACTGATTGAGCTAAGTGCACCAAATTGTCACAAATGATTTATTGTAGTAAGTACCAGACCCCTATTTAAATTGGACATGATCTGGCTACCGGTTCGGGTAGCTGCGATACAACTTCAAAATTTATTTGACTATATCTCAGATACTATAAAAGCTGCGGTATTGAAATTTCACACAAAAGAATATATTAGTAGGGCCAATGTGTTTGATAAAAGTCGTTGAAATTGCTTGGCTCCTTCTGGTAGCTTTGGTACAATTTCAAAAGTTATTTGGCTATATCTCAGAAACTATAAAAGCTGTTAAATTGATATTTCACACAAGCAAATATATTAGTAGGGCCAAAGTGCCTAATAAGATTTGCGTTAAAATTTCTTGGCTCTTTCTGGTAGCTGCCATACAACTTCAATAGTATTTTTGCACACACAGTATTTTGAAAAACACATACTGAAATTTTGCATAAATTAATATGATAATATGGCAACTTAAAGTCATAGTCAAATATGGTCAGTTATGGCGTTTTTATTCGCACATAAGATAACAAATTCGTATGGGTATCACACAGTTGTCAAGGTCAACTAAATTCTCGTTTAATCAAAAGTTTAAAATTTAATAAATTGAATCGGTCATTTACATTACATATTGAGGAGCTGCAATTTATTTTATTACAAGTGAAGGCACGTTTATTTATTGTAAATTTGAAGCTAGAGCCGAATTTCCAATATCTGGCGGTCTACGCAAATAAAATCGCTAACAAAAATAGTTATGTATAAATTTTTTCCAACAGGATTTTCATACAAATGATACTTATCTCGAAAAATGACCGTCATTCATAATTTTGGAATAATTAGAACGTTAAAAAATTTAGTAATTCATAAAAAATTAAAACTTTTGGATCAGGGGAGAAATTTTGTAATCAATTTTAAATATCGACATGAAAGTAGGTTTTATTTATGTAAAAATTGTCCAAATTTTTGATCAAATTTTAAGAATTTCAAAGGAATTACTGTTATGTAAAAAGGTAATAAAATGTTAATTTTAGTAAAGATAATTTTCCTCTTCTTTTAGGATGCTTTTTACTTCGTCCAATAAAGCTGCAAAATCATTCATGGGCTAATGTACTAATGAAATTAGTGTCTTAACAATGAGGAGGATTTAATTTGAATTTGGAAATAGCACATTTTTAAATTTTGTGAACAATGTGCACATATGCATAGGTGTAAGTTTCAAAAAAATCCTCAGAGAAATACATAAATAGCGAGAAATACATAAAAAAGGAATGTTCACATTATGCATATTGTTATTAATATGTACATACTATATTATTACCTGACCAAATGGCTAGTGTTATGGAATAGATTCTCGAATTCAATTAAAAATTACATTCAATTTTATAAGCTTAATATACAATACATATTATAAAAAACTAAAAAAATATAAAACTAATATTCATAATAATCGATATTAAATATCAGCAAAATAAAACAGTAAATATCAATAACCTTAAATATTTAAGGACTGATCGTGTATCTCGCTGTTTTACTCGCCAAATGAGAAGAAGGTGATTAACTATCATACATATTATTGTATAATGTAATTTTGGAGTGAGAAGAATCACTCCGTATTAGGTATATCGTTTTTTTCTAAAATGTATACAACATGGATTCACTTTGTTTTGAAGGTGATATGTTCAGTCGATAATTTGAGAAAAATTCAAAAATCCTATTGAAAAAGTAATTCATCTTATTGGAAAAATGAAATATCCATTAGAAAAACAAAATGAAAGATTCAAAGAAAAAGGTTAAGAAGAAAATTCGAGGTACACGATTGGGTTTTGGATGAAGAAAAAAGTGCCGAAGACTAGTCGCCTACTTGTTTAAGAACAAAATAACGAACGAAACTGGGCCATTGTTATTTACAATATAATGTACCACCTATATGCTCCTCCTAGAGGTGAAATAGAATAAAAAAACGAATTTCATTATATTAAATAAAGTGTGTGCTTTTATATACACTAGTAATTTTTATGAAAAGAAAGAAGAAGAAATTTAACAAAAATTTGGTTTCAAAAGAGATTTGTAAATGTAATATGTAGTATGATTTTATAGTCTAGAATTTAATGTAGATGCAACTTACAGAGGTACAAATATTAATATATATTTTAAATTTTTATTAAATGATGCAAAATAAATGAAAAACATTTTTAAGGACATTATTTTTATTGAAATATACAGTAAATAGTTTTTAATTAACATTATCTAATTTTTTTTTATTGATTTAATTTTTTAATTTATTTTTTTTCTTTTTTTCAATTTGATTTCTTACAGCAATAATTCCATAATAGTAATAATGATAAAACTATTTTTTATATTTAAATTTTATGTTGTGTATGATTTGTATGTACATATACGTATATAATTAATATATTACATATACATGTATATAAATAACAGAACATTAACTTATAGATTACATTTATTCGTACATATATAACTATTAATATTTTTTATTAATTTTTTTTAATGTTATTTAAATTATTTTGGTTTTGGTATTTTTATTTTGTCATCTTTTAACTTTTTTTTTGTTTTTTTTTTGTATTATTATTATTAATCATATGGTGTTCATTTAATTTTTGTTTTTAAATAATATTTTCTTTTTAATTATTTGTAATATACTTATTATATATTTTTTGATTTGATTTTTATTATATATTATTCTTGTTACGTTTTCAGTTTTTTGATTGAAAAAATTAAAAGAAAAACGTTTATTTTGATTTTATTTTTCTCTTGTTTGATTATAAATTCGTACTGTTCGATGTGTTTGTGTGTTGTATGCAATTTTATTAATAAATTAAATATTAATTTATAATAAATTATAACTTTTAGCAAATTGGAGTAAATTATAGTGTAATTGAGAATATTATTTAGATCTCGGAATCAATTGTTTTTTTGTGTTATTTTTTCTTCTAATATTAGCGTAAGGGTTATTCATAATATATCAATATCACATTAATTAATACATAAAAATTAATATAGCATATTATGTGTCTAAATAAATTTTTTTTTAAAATTTGTAATAATTCATTTTTTTGAAATTATAATATGAAATTGGTTATATAGAAGAAATTAAGATCAATTATTAAGGGCATATATCAAATTGTATTGTATTGACTTATTCGCAGCAATACTGTTTTAATCACTAGACGCTATTAATTATGCAATTATCAACAACAAATTCAAAATTATTTATTTATTTAAATAAATTTATTATGCAACCTACGGCACTATGTATTATGATTTGAAATTTATGTGAAAGAAACAAACCAAATTGAAAACTATTTTCCACGCATGTATGTATATAATATTTGGAAATTTAGACTGGATGCAGCTCGCTATCGCCAATTATTTTCGCAGGAATTCTTTGATAGCTTAAATCAACACTATAATTGGTAGGTATTCAATTTCAATATTATTATTGTTAATGTGTGCATATTTCATAAAGTAATACAAAATTACATTTTAGTAATTTGAAAAATTATAACTGAAACTATGGAATCAAAATAACTGAAGAATAAGAAGAATGCACTTTTAATAACTATGGATTTAATATACTTTTGTTTTAATGTCCGCAATTTTTAATTTTTGATTTCAATAAAATTTAAATTGTTTTGTATTGTTCGTATGTATGATTTTTAAATTTACTTTGTTTTTTAATATTTTTGGTTTGGCAAATAATTTTTTTTTAATTTTATAACTTTAACTTGTTTCTCTTGTTTTTATTTTGTTAATGTTCTTGTTGTTATTAAATTCAGTCTTTATATAATAAATATTATAAATTTAAATAAAGTAAGAATATTATTTTTATAAAAAAAATTAAATGTAATAGGTATGTTTTTTAAAGAAAAATTAAATGTAGGAAGATATCTTTTACCTACCTAATCGTTGCACTTAATATAAAATATAAATTTCGAGTAAAAGTTTATAAGTAGTAAAATAATTTAATAAAAATAAAAACAATATTGTGATTTTAAAATATTCAGATTTACAATAAATTATAATATGTTTTTTAAATTTAATCAAAAAATCTTTTAAAGAATATTTAAAATGTTTTTAATGATTGTTTCATAAATTTTTAAATTTAATTCGAATATAGTTGCAAAATTAAAAGCTTGCTTATATAAATTTTTTCTCGAGAGATTTTTTTATATTAACAAATTTCAGTATTTTCAGTAATGTTGTTATTATAAGTAATAATTATTTTATGTTAATAACCCAGTGTTTTGATTATTTTAATGTTAATATTATTACATAATTTGATTTTTTGAAATTTAATTGAATATGCTGTTCTATAATTTCTACTAAAGAAATTCAGCCTATATTTCATAAATTGATTGCGTAAATTAAATTTAACTATATTTTACGTATAATTAGTTTTAATTTGTGAAAACATTTTTTTTTTTAAATATAACAAGAAACCTTTTAACCTTTTTTTATTGGTTAATATAACATAAGTATTCTTATTTGAAAGTTAATTTTCTATTTTGAAATTAATGTTGAGAAGAACATAAATTTGATTAATAATTATATTAAAATATAGATT